CACGCCGCAGATACAGATTTGAAAAGTCACCCCCTTCCTCCCAATGTCAAATACCCCCCCCCCCCCCCTACAAGTGTAAAATACATCCCCCATGCTCCGGCTACTGTAGGGAAACTCCACTTCATGTCATGGGTTGGGGACACTGGTACAATCCTTACTGAAGCTTGCAAATGACTACAAACCGAACCAGGCCTGGGAGCCAACTTCTGAACTCCGATGCCACCAAGGCCTATGCCTTGAGCCTCAATGCTTAACTTACTTGGGCTTAGAAGGGAAGAGGGGAATCCCTGCTAACCCCCAGTAAGTTTAAGTGTCAAAAGGATGCCCAAAGTGTAAGGTTCCCTCATCACAGACTCAGAAGAGAGGGGCCCGCCCCCCAGGCTGCTCCTCGGCACGCTGCCGCTCGGCGGCAGTTACGATACCTGCCTCCACACTTCGGCGGCGCATGGCCTCGCGACTTCTTGGACTCTTGGGTTGAGGTGGTTGGGGCTTAGGTATATAACCCTAAAATATGCCCTATTATAATAGAGTAGTTTCCATCTTCTTTTCCATTATCCCAGTATAACCCCAACATCTACCCTATAGTCTGTTGTTGTAACAAGAACTAGGTGACAAACGCTTGAGCCACATTCGGGTGGAATACGGCAGCCTGCTCCCAGACTTCCCAAACTCTCAAATTGAATTCCTCGCTCTGCGCTGACAGATCTGAATCAGAGCTGCGGGTACTGCCTGCGGGCCTCCAAGTTTCAGTCACCCTACCTTTTCCATTATCCCAATATGTTCCCAATATGGTGGCTTCCATTCTCTTGTCCATTATACCCACATCACCCCCAAACCCTAAACCCTAAATTGTACTTTCCATTTTCTCTTCTACTATCCCAAGAGCTAACACATCTCCACATCTCCCCCAACCCGGAGCTCTGAACTCTAAGCCTCGGAGGTCTGGCTCCTGAACCTGGGATTCCGACCCTAACCTGTCCCACACAATTTTCATGACCGCAGTCTGTTCTCGATCACTTCCAAACCGGGTGTTTCTCAAAACAATCCTTAAGGGGGACCCCGTGCAATTAAAAAATCGCCGGAACACAGCAGGCCTCATCATTAGAAACCCTACCATATCCCACAAACACCCAGCAAGAATACCCGACAAGAGAGACCAGAGACCTACACCTACACCCATCTTCTCTCCCTGCAGCAGACTGCCTCACGCTGCTCTTTGAGAGACTCGAGCTCTTTGGGCTGCTGGTCCACCTCTCACGACGACTGGAAGACTATAGGGTTTTGGAGTCTACAGAAGGGTCCTCCTTTTAAAGGAACGTACAGTACCATGTGGGTTTGTGTTTAGGGGTTAGAGTTTGAGATGCAGGGTTCATGAGTTTAGGTTCAAGTTTTGGGAGACTTGGGGTGTGACTTCTTTTGAGGCGATTTGCGCCAAAGACAAGCTTCAAGTTGAAACTGGCGCAAGAAAGAAAGCTATCCGTGTCGGAGTGTGTGTCTAGGATCAGCTGGTCCAAGGCGCCAGACACCTCCAGCAGCATAGTCCCCGGTCCCCTTATTTTGGGAAACTACCTTTCTTTGTCCCGAAACCCTAATACCCTAACCCTAAACCCTGAACCCTAAACCCTAAATAGTAGTTTCCATTTTATTTTCCATTATCCCAATATAACCCTAGTATAACCCCATTATGACCCTAATCTCCGGCGGCTGGCCTTTGCCTGCAGCACCTTTTCAGCAGCTTCCTGGGCAGCGAGCAATGGCTGTCGGGTCTTAAGAGAATGGACAGGTTTAGGGTTAGGGGTTTAGGGTTCCATAGGGATTATATGGGGATAATGGATAGAAAATGGAAGCTACTATTTAGTTTAATTGAGGCCTGGACTTTGGGGTTAAAGGTTGAGGGGCTAAGTTTGGGGTTTAGGCGACAGCTTTAGGATCTCAAAGCTAGGATGCAGGTGTAGCTCTACGGTGCCAGATTAAGGGTGGGGCAGGACCCTTCTCTCATCCCTGCATAAGCTCTTATCCATGTTTCATGGGTGTCCTTCTCGGCATGTGTGCTTATAGATCCCAAAGGCCTCCGCGAAAAACATCCTACCAGCATCCAATGCCAACTGCAGACCATCCCCCTGCAAGGGCCCAAGCAAGAATAATCATGAATATATTAACAATAATCATAATAGTAATGATTAATAATTAGTAGTAATGACAATAATAATCATAATAGTAGTACTGACCAAAAAAAAGTAATACCGATAGAGATCTAACCTCAAACAGCCACCCTTGGCACCTGCTCGGCCAGCCAGGCCCGAATCTTTTCCCGGAGCTCCTGGCGCCTGTTGGAGGGTCACGGGGACTTAGAAAGTAGATTAATAGCGGGGATAATTGGGGTTACTATATGGCTTATAGGGGTTATTATCCTACTAACTAAGTGCCCCTGACTCTCCATGTAGGGATCTAGAGGGCTGGCAATGAGGCCTTTAGGCTTAAGGTGGCTCGGCAACCAGCGAGGAATCCATAGAACCATACAACCGCCATACAGCCCCATACATCTATAACGCTTATAACAAGCCCCCAATTCATTTTAAGCTCTATGCAATCCTGATAGGACCCCTACCTCTGCCATCATCTTACTCTCTGCCTGCCATGGGTCGCAGTCAAAACTCACTTTCAGCAACACAGCGTTACAGGGAGGTCGAGCATGGAACACATAAATCTCTCTGAATAAGCCTGATGATAGTCCCCTACGAATCCCCTGTATAATTCCCTTTAAGGAGTTTAGACGATAGCTCACTTGAAGCTCAGAGGACTTGGGGGCATTCAAGAATCCAGAAACCACATATTGTTCCAAAATGACCCCTAGACCTTTAGAGCCCCCTACTTCCACTCCCATATCGCAGCTGATTCCAAGTTTTGGAGGTATATTGCGCCTCACCTCCGACTACCAGGACAACCCCTTAGCTACTGATGGAATAGCCCCTGCAACGGTCAAAGCGGCGAGTGCCTTCGCTTCTCCTCAGCCACCTCGCGGAAAAATTCTTCCTGCAAGCTCGCTTTGCGTGGCCCTGTACCCCTAATAAATCCTAACTCCAGCCATGTTGCGCATGCGGTAGACGGTTTAGGGTCTAGGGTTCAGCTGTCAGATGTTGTTTTGAAACAGCATCCCGCAAGCGCCGTAGCATACCACGACCCCAATTGCCCCAGTGGAGATAGCCACCTGCCTTCACGGCTTTGAGCTTTTCCAGAGACTGCGCCTGCGTCATCCCGAGAGAAATGGAAGTCTTGACGTTTTGTAACTGGGGGCTGTGGGACCGTAAGCACATGTGTACTCATACATTCATATCTCATATGTAGATTTACTTTATCTACTTTCATATCTGGGCATTACACACGCATTCTGGTGTCACCGGTAAGGACTCCATAGGGACCATTTTGAGAAAGTATGGTCCTGTAGTAGAGGAGAGACGCAAGCGGGGCGACACGCCTGATCACCGTGAGCCAAATGCCAGGACTCGTTGTATGAGAGTGGCGCCCGTAAACGTGGCCGTGCTAAAATAGGAACCCAAGCATGTGGATTCCTGCACTCTGCCACTTTCGCCATATCCCTGCACCCAAGGTGCCAGAGGGCCGGGAAGCAAGTGCATAACACCTAGACAACACCCACAGCGTCCCAGGTGCTTATATTCATGTTTGGTATGCGTGTATACATATACATATGTATAGATATGTCTGTATACACACACATGTGCGCGCGCTAAACCCTGGTCCATACACCCAATCTTCAAACAGCAGCAACCTTTGTCTACTGGGTGTTCAGATTGCTCAGGAAATATCTGATCTTGAACATGCCTCACATCCTCGTGTTTGAATACTAGCTTCCTTGTCTACATAGCCATATGTATGCCATCCCCAGTCAGCAGCCCAGGCTGTCAAGGGAGCTTCACTGGTAGTTACAAGCAGAACCACTGTCAGTCCCAAACCGAATCCAAAACCTGAAGCCTTAAAGCCCAAACCCTAAACCCTATAGCGGTCTCCATTCTCTTTTCCACTATCCCTATATAGCCCCACCACACTACGGCAGTTTCCATTTTCTTCATCCAAAACCTGAAGCCCTAAGCCAGGCCCCTCAGACCAACAGAAAACGGGCCGAAAGCCTTCGCTCGGCACTGATGTCGCACGGAGGCCACCGCCTGCTCCTCTGGTTTTAAGGTTTTAGGGTTTAGGGTTTTAGGGTTTAGGGTTTGAAGGTCAACTGTTTTAGGTTTGAGGGTTTAGGGTTTAGGGTTTTAGGCTTTAACTCTAGGGTTTAGGGTTTGGATCTCTGAAGCAGAATGTTGGGGATGGTACAGAGATGGAAAAGAAAACGGAAATTGCTATTTACAGTAAGGCTTTGAGTTTAGGATGGAGGTTTTGCGGTGAAGGGTTTACTGTAAGAGGTTGAGGATTTGAGGTTCAGCATGCACATACGGTTTTGGGCTTACATTGGGTTCAAGCTTTAGGTTCCGGATGTAGCGCTGAAAGCTTAGGACTCAGGGTTTCAGTCCATCGTAGGCTTTTGGAAGTCACTCTCTCAATGGTGCAGTTACTTACTGGTGGTTAGGAATAAGAAACTATAATCCCTGTATAATCCCAGTATAATATATTCCCGTTTTCTTGCTAACCCTGAACCCTGTATTAGACTCCCTGATCCCATATGAACCCCAGTAAGATGACCCGGGCAAGGGTTTGGAGCTTAGAGCTTAGCCTGGGTTGCTGTTAAGGGACTTAAGGTAAGTCACCATGCTGGGTACATATAGGAATTAATAGGGCTTCCCGAGTCTAGTAACTTAATTTAAGTTCCCTAACAGCAACCCAGTAGCTTGAGGGGCAGACTTGAAGGATGAGGAAGTCCCTGGTAGCTCTGCGGCACAAAGCAACGGCTTCACGGACACCCCTGTCGTTTCCTAGGGCGTAATTCTGTCTGAAGGCATTGAAACGGACTAGGGCGCTGTGGGATTTAGGATTTGGAATATAGTAGAGGTTGTGGTCTGTATAGGTTTGAGCGCGTCAGGAACCTATGGGGGTGCGATAAGGAATCCGCGTGTCATGACTCCGATGCCTAGTCTAAAGGTCTGTGCGATCAAAGATTCAGGATTTTGGCATTTTAGCCCAAGTCAGGGTGTCCTGACCATTTCCACTTCCCGCCGGCGGTTGCGATTCAAGAAAGGCACCTGTAGATGACAAGACCGAACCCCAAATAGAACAGCAAACAATCTCCCCTGCAAGAACGGCGTCAATCATCACAGGCAACCTGCATCTGCTCCCTGAGCCCTAAACCCTAAACCCTAAACCCTACACCATGGAACCGGAACCTCGGTAGGATGGCCAACCTTAATTTTGGACCTGGGTGCCGAACACATGGGAATAATTTTGCTTTGGCAAGGGTCCTTGCCATAGAGCCCTGCTTAGGACTGAAGCATCCTGAGCAACCGAAAAGACTCTAAAAGAAATTTCCTCAACTCTAACTCCGAAAGCCTACATCCTATTATGTCTAAAGTCAAGAACGGCTAAGTTCATAGGTCCTGTGCGCACAGGTGCTCATCGCTGGCTGCAACCTGAAAAGCCCAAGCTCAATGCACCCTGCGTTTCAGAGCTTAGCGCTTCGTACTGTCTTAGGGTTTTGGGTTTGAGGGTTTGGGGTTTGAGGGTTTGGGGTTCAGGGTTGAGGGTTTGAGCCTTAGATCTGAGGCATCCCATTTTTGCTTAGCTCACATTTCGGAGGGGTCTTTTTGGGCGGGAATCTGGGCAGGCTTTTTCAGGCTTCGCATCGTGCCGTTTCGCACGGGGTTTAGGGTGTGAACTAAATTTCAATTGAGCCTGGAAACACCCAAACGCCAGGTAGAGGGGTCTATGCAGCTCCTATGAAAAGCTTCCAGGATCCGTCACTGCGTGATCTAGGGCAGAGAAGTAGTTTGGCAACCCGGGTGAACCTGCGTCCCTTCAGGACACGCAAACAGGAGAGGCACCAAAAAATTGAATTGAAATTTGCTGTCACTTTTGCAGCTGGACAGGGAAATGAAAGAAGAATGCCAGTAAGAATCTCAAAAATTTGCGGATCCCTTTGGGATCCTTGCAACCTGGATTGTATTTCGGGAGGCAGATACTCGGGGGAACCCTACCGCTTGTAAGCTATACAAATTTGGTGGTTTCCCAAAATATGGGGACCCCAACACAGACCCTAAACCCTGATCCCTAACCCTAAAACCCAAACCCTAAACCCTATATAGTCCTTTTTAAAGCGACCAGTACCCCCCCCAATTTCAGGAAACTCCCACTTATTTGCTGGCCTCTGCTTCAGCCGCAACCAACGCTCGCTTAGCCACCTGTGTTTGGGCAACACATGTTCTGTCTAGCCTTTGGGGTTTAGGGTTTGAGGTTTGGGGTTTAGGATTTTAGGGCTTTAGAGTGTAGGGTTTTAGGGTTTAGGGGTAGTCTTTGGGGTTTTGCGGTAAGAGGCAAGGCTCAGCAGAGGCTTTGGGGTTCAGAGCTTAGGGCTTATTGCCAAGAATTTTGAGGTGTAGAATCACCTCAAGCCCATACTAAGACTTGATGCTCTACTTATAAAAGGACTATACAAGGATTATATACAGATTTGCCAGGGAGTATATAGGGGCGATTTAAGGCTTATCTAAGGATTAGATATGGATTATAGAAGGATTATCTGACGTTACATGGGGGTCTTACCCAGCGATGAGATGCGTGCAGAAGGGATTGCAAGGAGTATGAAAGGGTATATAAAGGTTTTTTGGCATTACATAGATAGTCTGAACTCCTAGTATACCCTTGATAACCCCTCTAATACTCCCCTATATAAGCCCCACTATAACCCCTTCAAGGAAGTTAGACTATGGCTACCACAGGGTTACAAAGGGGATCTTGCACAGGGACGAGATCTGCTAAAAAACGAATGATGCTTCTTGGCAGAGCTAGCCTTCGCAGAAGAGCAAGGAGCCAAATCAAATGTGGGTTCAGGGTTTAGGGCTTGGATATTTAGGGCTTAGGGCTTTGAAGTTTACGGTTTGGGGTCCCTGGGTTTAGGGCTTCAGGTTTAGGAATTGTTGGGATTTGCTCCCAAAGCTCCATCAACTCAAAACCCTAACAAACCTGCCTTTCTCTCTGTAAACCCTCTGCAGTCTGCACCATGTAACCATCCACTGGCCCTCGAAATATACCAACGCCAGAAGCCCTACGCAGCCATGCCCTTCAGCCTCGGACCCCAGAACCCTGGAGCTCCAGTACCTTCAACTTACTCGTGGTGAGTAGGGAACAAGGGAATATGACCCCCCATATACTCCCCATATAGTCTATTCCCTGATTCCCTACTAGCCCCTAGCATGTAAACCCCATAAAGCCGTTTGCTTCCTTTGCGAGCCTCCAGCTCCGCACACAGCGCAGCCTTTTCGCGGCGGAGGCCGCTAAGCCGTTCCGTGGCCCTCTGGCGCGCCAGGCCAACCTGGATCTTAAATCTCAAACAAGGTTTTGGGGGGTTGGGGTTTTGGGGTTTGGGGGTTGAAGGGTTTTATGGTGTTGGGGTTCTAGGGGCTTAGGGCTCTGGGGTTTGAGGTTTGAGGATGTAAAGCTCTGGATTTGGGGTGCGGGCTCAGGGTTTGGGGCTTCAGGCTTCAGGGTTGGTGCCACGGGATAACTAATCGGAAGTGGGCATTTCATGTAGACATGCGTGACACAGGACTGCATCGGCGTACGACTGTTTGGATGAGCGCTTTACACGGGTCCAACGTTGACTCTATAGGAGGTTCACAGGGGCGAAAATGCAGGGCTTATCAAAATGAGGGCTTGATCTAAAGATTCTCTGTTTTTTGTCATGAGCCCTCTAGGTACCCGAAAGTTCCGTCAAGGTCTGAGCTTGGATGTCTATATATTTCCATCTATCGTCCCTGCGTACTTTCATACTATATACACCTCATTATCTTTCTAGCTATCCGGGTTGTACACGTCAAAACCCCTCATGCAGCCTTACTGTCCTGCATACCAAAAACTTTGCCCCTGAACAATGCGCCTACCATTCGAACCTATACCCATTAAACCGCACTCCTGAATCCCTAAACCCAACCCCTGAACCTGCAAACCCCAACCCCTTAAACCCCCAGACGCTTAAACCCCAAAGCCTAAACCCTAAGCCCTCAACCCTGAAACCCTTTTGAATTTCTATAAATCCAATCCTCAAGACTCCCATTACTATTACTAGTACTATTACTATTATGATTACTATTACTATTATGATTACTATTACTATCCCCTTGCCCCCCAATTTTGCACCTCTGCCAGCTGCAGCTCCGCAGCCTCAGCTTGGAGCCGCTCCTCGGCAGCCTCATCCTGTTGGGGGTTTAGGGTTAGGATTTAAGGCTCAGGGTTTAGGGTTTAGGGCTCAGAGTTTAGGGTTTAGGGTTTAGGGTTTAAGGTTTAGGGTTTAGATTCAGGGTTTAGGGCTCAAGGGTTAGGGTTTAGATTCAGGGTTCAGGGCTCAGGGCTTAGGGTTTTGGGTTGGCCTGGCCTGCTAGCTGCTGGTAGAGAATGGACAAAATTGGAATCTGTTGTAGGGTTTAGCGTTTAGCAGAACAGAAAACATCTCAGGTTTTAGGGCATAGGGTTTAGGGGATATGGTTAGCCTTCAGGGGTCAGAGGGCGCGGAACGGAAAACCAAGTGGAAAAGCAAATGGAAACGGCTGGTCATGGTATGGGGACAGAGGGCTTGGGGTTTACTTACTGGTCGTTAATCGGGAACGGAAAGGAAAATCAGAGCAGAAGCTACTGTTCAGGCGGTACCGTAGGGTTTTAGGGTTGCTAGTAGGCAATGAAGGAACGGATCCCAAGTGTAGCCCTTCTGAGCCCCAACAGTACAGTAGCTACATATCCCTGTCTGTTCTTCAACTCCAGCAAGGAGACCCTAATCCCCTTATCCCAACAACCGCCAGTGTCCATTTTATTTCCTTCAACTCTACGCTCTAAGTTGTAGCTGCCATTGCATTTTCCATTTGTGTGGCCATTTGATTTTCGATTCTAAGCCCCAATTCCATAAGCTTAGGAACCCCAACACAGATAGGGGTACGCGGGGCTATAAAGGGATATGAGGATATCGGCTATACTAGTAGGGGGAGTGGAAAGGAAAATGGAAGCTACTCTGTCAATTTCAGGTGTAGGCCTTGGGGTTGGGGGCTGGGGATACAGGGTCTTGGCGAAGACAGGCGTCACGCAGGCATTGCGCAGGGCTGACACAAGGATTACATGGTGCACAACTAATAGCTACGCAGGGGTCCGAGGCGCTATGGAGGCGTTACATCGTACGGAGCTTCTGCAATAGCTGAGTGTGTTCAAGGGCTCTGCAAGAGCCATATCAACCCCGCAGAAACCCTCAACTGACCTCCCAGACTTTGCCCATGCTCTGCTCATTGGAAGTTGATATAACCCCATTTCATTTTCCATGTTCTTTTCCATTCGATTCTCCACTATAGCGTAGTTTCCATGTTATTTTCCATTATCCCTATATATCGCCAATATAACCCCATCATATGCCACCCTCAAGCCTGTGAATGGCATGTACAAACTCTGGGCCTCGATCAGAGATTGGCAGACAAGGCTAGGCCAAGAACAGCAAAATTGCACATCACGAGTGTGTACATAACGATGATATAGAGGCTATGTAGGGATCTTAAAAGGGTTTTTTCTGGGTTGTAAAGAGATTGTATATTATATAGGGATGATATACTCCGGGGCTATTTAGGTGTATAGGGATTATGTGAGTGAATTCCCAAACCCTCAGAGCCGACGGCTCCCTTTCCTGCCTGCAGCGAAGCAGCGGCTTCGCGGTGGCGCTTCAGCGCCTCCTGCGCGTTGCCTTGGAGAAACCCGACTCCACGGGTCCAACTCACTAGAATAAGGCCTGGACATATGAAGTATGGTCTAAACTCCTTAAAGGGGGCTTTATAGGGGAGTATAAAGGGGAAAATTACAGGGGGTATTAAGGGGATACTCGGAGTTTAGACTATAGCTCATGTAAAGCATGTAGTTCTATTCGGGTTATTTTGAGGGGAATATCTTGGTAGGTATGGCCCCAAGATTTTGAAGGCTGAGCTGGTAATTGTCAAGACATAGCCGGTGCACCCAATGCTTGCGCGCTTTGCCTGCTCCTGATTGAGACCATGCTGATGGTGGACCCTGAACCCCAAACCCAAAACGAGGAGGAGGAGGAGGAGGAGGAGGCGCAGGGGCCTGCTTTATCTTGACTACCAAGCGTTTCTTGCATCACCACGAATATGATAATTCTGAGAGCAAATGGCGGCTTTCGAAAATGAGGGATCTCGATATATAGACCCCAACATCATGCAATCCTGAGCATGGAGACGATCAAGGACACTGGGACCCTGTTTTGAAACCCAGAACTATCATTTGCTTATCAGGGCCTCATTGAAAGAATTGGCTACTATCATAGTGGAATAAGTCCTGTCGAGAAAGTGAAGCTGGGCAGCAGAACAACAAAACATACACCCCCCACAGCGATTCTCAAACCCGCAAAAACCGAAACCTGGCGCTCAGAAGCTCAACCCTCTCAGTGTAGGACTCGTTGCCTTGTTCTTTGCTTGCAGCTGCGCCTGTTCCGGCTTCTCAAGTCTTGAGCTCGGAGTATGGGCCTTAAGTGCAGGGCCTTTATTGGGCCTACTGAGCCTGATGCTGCCAACAAAGTGAAGGGCCCAAAAATATTGGCCCATAGTTCCCCATCTGGGACGTTTTCATGGGGTCACATCAAAGCAGGCAATAAACAATCGACAGACATCTTCCACAATCTCAGGACAGACTCGACCTGAAGGACCTAAGTACCTACAAGTCAAACCAAGCCGGCAGAAACAGACCCAAACCTGCTGAACGTAAGCTTCACGCTGAACCTCCAACCTCAACTTGGAAGGATTGACATCTAGACCCTGAGCCCTACACCCCAAAACCGTGAACCCTAATTCCCCAACCAACAATTTCCAATCCCCCACCAAAAACTGCAGAGTCCTGAGCAAAAGGCCGTAAACATCCTCCACCTCACCCACCAACCCGTACACGCTTAAATCCAAACCCACCTTACAAGATCGTAGGGTCCAAGTTATCTACAAATTTAAGGATTCTGAAGCCAAAGGACACCCACCAAAAAAAAAAACAAGTACTTGCAATCAAGTCTCCCCCAACCCTCAACTCTAAACCCTAAACCCTAAACCACCGATAAGCAAGCTCAAAGACCTCCAGCTCTGATCTTTTGGCTTGCAGCTGTTCAAACCTTCGGGCCTCCGCCCCGCAATGTGCAACATGACAGGGTTTAGGGTTCAGGTTTTAGGGTTCAGGGTTTAGGGTTCAGGGTTGAGGGTTTAGGGTTCAGAGTTTAGGGTTCAGGGTTGAGGGCTCAGGGCATGTGAGGGTTTTGGGTTTCTAGGTCTTGGGGGTGTTGGGGTTTCATTTTTGGTCTTGAAGTTTTAGAGGGCTTGAGGGTCCCGATTTAGGTCTGCGTCTAGGGCTGTTACCGTGGGCCCCTAATTTAGGCCCTTTGCATCCTGGAGAATAATTGAATAACGTAACCCTACACTGAAAGGGTCCCTATCATCAACATACCGTGAAGAAAGAGCTACATTTGTTTTGTTTGAGGTTGAGAAAGCAAGCCATGTACGACTTTTCTGGGGCTGTATGAAGGCTGAAACGAGTCTAGGAGCTGAGTGCCTTGTGAGTTTTGAATTAACTTTTTTTTTGGTGGTGTGGGGAGGGGGGGGGGGCGGGGTAGCTAGGGTTCTTGCAGGAGAAGCGCTGCAAGATTCCGTAACATCTTGGAAAGTAGCCCTCATAGTTTCATGCAGGAGTTGCGGCATCTTACGAAAAGATCTGTCAAATCTTAACAAGCCTTCCGGGACTCACGCAATAGACTTCCAGAATGCGTTGTGGAAGGAAGGCATCCCTACTTGCTGACTACTTGGGGGTGGGGGGGGGTCAGGAGGACTGAGTAAGGAACGGAAAAGAAAATGGAAGCTACATTAGTGTTTAGTGTTTAGGGTCAGGGGACTTAGTAAGTAGGATCATAACCCCTATAATCCATATTGTAACTTTACCTATCTTAATTGTTAACCTACTTCCGAAGTCCCCCTGACCCTCCAAGTAAGAGGACTGAGGGGCGGGCTATCCACTCCCGCGTATCCATCTCCAGTGCCATGGTGGTTGATCCAGGCACTGGTCCGTCCATCAAGGGTCTTTAATCTCCTCTTCCCGTTATGAAACCGCCCGCCCTCCTATTCCTAGATACTCCCCATTGTCACCCTAAACCCTAAACCCTAAACCCTAAACCCTAAACCCTATACAATGGAGGGTGGAGACGAAGGCTTTGTGGCCTGGGCTTTTGGGATGAGGTTTCTCTAGAGCTTGGGTGCTTGGTTAGGGTTCAGAGATTAGGGTTCAGGGTTTAGGGTTTTGGGT